AAGTTAAAATTTTTGGAATAATATCTAAATCGACCAATAGAATTGAATTACAGATGGTCAAACGATCGCCCATATTATCGATTTTGGTGGGTAAATAATAGTATAAAAGGGGCGACCGTTCAAGTAGAGAAAAATCATCAATCAATTAACGAGAATTAGACTCAATAATTAGTAGTATTCAGAAGTGGCGAATTATCTCAAGTATAAAAAAATCGGGCCTCGGGAAATGTAAAAATTACAGTAAATAACTTGAATTAAGAAAGAAGTAAACCTTTCAGTTTTTATGTGCGTGCTCTAGCTATTTTGAGTAAATAATAATTAGAATAATTAAGTGACTTTTAAGGGCGATAATTTTAGATGTAAGTACTCTAGTGACAAGTTTAATTTTGACTTTATCAATGTTGAAATGACTATGAAGTGAATTGACTATGAAACTTTATAGCATAAATATTATTATGAGTGAATTGACTTTGAATATTTTTGTCCTTAGTATAGATAGGGAAATTTAATTCAAATGACTGTTAATTGGAATTATGGAACTAAATTATGAATTATTGTTTTGAGGTATAAAAGGTGTTTAGGATTTGAAAATATTGTACCTAACGTAGTGGGGCTATATGAAAGGGTTATTGAAGCACAAGGCTTTTTGATTGCATCATTTGATTCACAAGCTCAGAGACAGTGTAGAGGTGGCTGTACCTATGGGCTGTACGCTTGCATCAATTTAGAATTGTTTATTTTAGTTTAGAAGGGTGTTAGATTAGGGTTTGAGAAAGTTTGTACCATTGTTATGGGAAATCAAAATCTGTTTATTTTTTATTGATAATAGTATATTATGTAGCGAGCGGTTAATGATGGCTATTACTCACGAAGGATGAGGTTTGCACTACGAGCCGCAGGCGAGTAGTATAACCATCCGAGTGAGTAATGGCCATTACCCACGAGTAGAATACTATACTTTTTCTATGAATAATAGATGATAGGCACGAGCTATGCGGTTTTTTATTTAATTTTCATAACAAAATTAATTGACAATTCTGACAGCTGGAGCACAAAGTGAGGTTAGGTTAGCACAAGTTTTGTTTTAAACATCTGTCAAAATGACCGATTGGGAGGTTAAAGTATGTTGTCCAACTTGTCGAATTTTCTGATTGGCTCATAGTGGAGTAATGAGACCAGGATATTTTCATTGGTTGAAAACTCGGTTGAAAACAATTGAGTAATGAAAAAAAAAATTAACTGTATGAGTAATCATTCCCATTGGTCAATAGAAAATGGATGTATATTACGCATAATATTCAATACTCATAGAAAAAGTATAATTATTAACGGATAACCATATAAATCAGTTTGTTTTTCTCTCTTGCAAATGGACCCGCCCCCACAATTTTATTTTACAGTAGCTGCCCAAAGAAATAATTACCATCAAATACGACCTCTCGAAATTTACCATCTAACCTAAATAATAGAGTACTTGGCGCGGATGCTACATTAACTTGAAAATATGTAAACACAAAACAATAAACAAGTTAAGTGACGACAACTACTTTCTGCCAGTAAACTTTCCAAGTGTAAACGCAGCTATACACAAAATACAAAACAAAACACTTGACACTATAGCTCTGTTCCAACCGACATGAGAACCGTTCCAGAACCTATAATTTACAGTTGCCCATCTATTTTTCAATAAGTTGAACGACAAATGAATTGATCGACTAGAAATTACCGTTCTAGAACGGGTCTCATGCTCGGTCTCATGTATTGGTCTCATGTCTGTTGGAACAGAGCTTATATCACTTCTTCAATGTTACAATGTTCGCTTTGTATTGTCTACATTTGTTCTGCAACAATAGAAACAAGCTACACTGCAGCTAAGAGTTGCGCGCGCATGTCATCTTTTTTACTTTCTAACTTGTATTTATTACAATTAGGCTCTCTTTTTCTATTTATGCGAGAAAGGTCTATTGACCTTTATAACGGGATAGTATCTTTAGTAACTAGTTACTTCGCCAAGTGATCATCATGTCCAGAAAATGATTCAACTATTATCTCTGCTGATTCTATTCTCTTCCTCAATCATATCTAAGGGACTCAACAACTGATGATAAGTCTTTTATGTTGGACTGGAATAGTAAGCTCAATGTTCCAAAAGAAATTCAAAGAGCAAGAATCTATGAGCTATATACCTAGTTTCTTTCCTTATTCTCAAGTAGTCTGAAAGAAGTACATTTTTTGATTCTATGTTCATTATGACGTGAATACTTGTGTAAAACCAAAGGTAGAACGATAAAAACTAAAACGATTATAAAGTACAACATAAAATAAAACTCTTGCACAGCAATAAATTATTGTTCTTGTCGCCCACAGGCGTAACATAACCTACCATAATTCCCATTTGTATTTGAACTTGAACCTCGCACTCTGCAGATGTTCGTCCCGCAGAAATGACATGACAGTTTTAATTTACTAATTTCGCGATGAATAATCCTTTGTCTTGAAACTAAAGCTATGACTGAAGTTAAGTGGAAAGGTATTAAGCTGGCTATACTACGGGCTGTTCATTTGGTATATTATGATCCTTCAGAATAATTTCAGGTGTAATTACCGAGGATATTAGGTATTAATAGTCAAACTGTGTCCTTACTAGATCTTGATAACAGAAAACAGAAAATCATAAATTGATTTTCAAGAAATCTCTGAAACAATGGATATGATGTCTAATAATGATAAGAAAGACTGGGTGAAATTGATTCATTATTTCGAACTTCAAAATAAAATGAGACTGTTATTATCGACATCTGTTCCATATTACGTGAAAGTGTTAATATGTTTATTTGTTATAATGGTTCTTAAATCTGATTTTGCCAGACACGGCGATCCATTGCCAGTTTAAAAATTTTAATTTTAATAAGAAGACAATAATACCCAGAGTAGAAAACTCGAATTGCATCCGTTTCACTGCATAAATTCCAAAAAAAAGAAGAACTCATTTTGTTGTATTTGGCTCGATATTTGGTTCTGACTTTTTGGAACATAATACCCAAAACTTTTTTTGTGGTTACCTGTTTGTTCTTTAAATATTATCTATTGAAGAATTAAACATTTAATGAACATCCTGTATAGCACATGGCAAATGACACCTCAATGATGAAAAAGTCTGGTTTAACTAAATTCCTTATTGCCAAGTCAAGCAACTGATTGAATAATATAACATTATTAGCATCCATATTCCATATGTTCACCAAAAACACTACAATATGAGCAATTTATTGTTGATAATTGCAATTATGAATAACGAAAATACGTATTTTCTTTCCATGCATAGCCGGAAACCGACAGTGTATAATTGAAGTTACAGACAATTATGTTGAAATAGAGACTGGAATGTTTGCTCAATTTTGCGAGCGAACAAAATTTGCAACTAGAAATGGAATTATGATTACGGTAGTTGGGTCAGTTTATAACAGCAGAATTCTGAAATATATTTTCCATAAATTGAGGAAATCGACATAGGTACAGGAAATAATAGAGCTCAATGTTCCGATAGTAACATTTCATTATAGGTATGAAAATGTGAATGGCAATATTATTCGGTGACTTTTTGTAGATCATCGTGAATCCAACAGGCAACCATATCTGAAGTACCTCTTGTGTTCCTTTGAAAACATAGTGACTTTTCGACTATGAATTTAGTCCTGGCAAAGCTAAGCTAGGCTACGATAGTCTTTCAAGCTAAAATCTTAAAAACCTTGTTCATAAAAACCTTGTTCATGTTTGAAACCAAACTAAAACTCTAACATAAGGCGAAACTTTTTATGGAAAATGGAAACCTACTTTCTTCATCGACCTGCAACATTTCCCATGCCCCTCACAGTTTATAATAGCTTGAGCTTATTATTAGAGACTCATTATTACGTCTATGACGAGCAATGAATAATGAGACACACCTGTTATTAAAGGTTGAGAAAATTAAATTGGTGTTTACGGTTAAGAACCGAGATAGGATGTCATTAAGGATGTGCGACTAGAAATTACAAGCGCTCATTAAATTTTGCGTCAATTAGGCTCAGGGATTAACAATAGATGGTTTGATAATGTATTTTGGATAGTTTAGATTTATTAGTTTTCATTTTAGAATATTGAATATGTATATGTCTACAAAGCTTCGAACATCAAGGGAGACGTGCTATACCAAAATCCTCCAACGAGGTGATCTAAAATCACCACAAATCATCAACTTCCGCACATTGGCAATTATTTCGAGGTGCCAACACACCCAAAATTTCCCAGCGTTATCTGTCTTGTGAACCAAACATAGGATTGCCGAAGTACTGGTAACACCATTCACATTACTAAAAGAAACCCTGAACTGAATCCAAAACCATTTTTCCAGTCATTTTGAGCCATAAAATATGAAAATCTGGAGGTATCTGAAAATCTCATATCTTCAGAACGCAATCTATTCGCTTCGGCGAAAAGGAAAATATTTAAATATTGACCTAAATATAATAACATGTAGTGTCGTGTGAAAGATACTTTGGGCCCTTACTTAGCCTAATCTTGTCGTTATTCATAATCTCGGATGCAAGAATGCAATGATTTATAGCATCTAATCTAATACCAACCGACATAAATGTTCCATTTCGATTTCGCTAGATTTCACAATTTTATGCGATCTGTTGCCCACACCTCGTTACCGGCATAAGAATTAATTAGAGATGAAAAATAGCGCGCGGATTTTCCTTATCATCTGCAGGTTTTGCAACATTGTGCATTAATTGAAATCGTTGTTTGAATAAATGAATGTTTAATTAATATAACTCCGGCTAATTTTGTCTAATTATCACTTTACATCGCTGAAGCCATCATAAATAATTTATTAAATGTAATAAATATTATAGCAGCTTTAAATCATACATGCAAATCGACTTTTTTAGACATCTGGCATTGATTTGTTGAAATAAAGTTTATTTTATCCGATCTTATCATCATTCACTTACCCACTACTCCTAATTGTTGAGGCGTCAGAACGCCATCTCCTCCACCACCTTCTACTGCAGTTAGAGTGATAGATCCACTAGCTAAACTACCGGACACTACGGACGTTTTTTCACTAGTACTAGCAATAGTAGAACTTTGCCTAGCATAGCGATCGCCGTAAATGTTACTGTACCCGGCACTTCTTCTACCGCTGCTCGCTATACTGACGGTATCTAGAAATGAAATAGAAATGAAATTATTTGCAAACAAATATTAGTGGTTTATTGGATGTATTTGCTTATGGTGACCCATCGACCAACACTGATTTTTGGGGAAATTTATTTCAACCCCCAACTACAACTTTTAGCTGGGGAGACTAGCACCCCAAAAATCTAGGCTCAATGCAAAAGGAAATCGTGAGATATTATCATTGAAAGCATTAAATTACCGCCACATATTTTGTCAATTTGGATTGGTAGTGAAATTGCGTTAGAAAACTGAAAATTTATTTAAATAACTTACAGAAGAATATCAATCTATTAAATGCTCAACAACCGCAAGTTTTAGCTGAGTCGCATACATTTTTGTCTTCAAATATCTTTACAGAAAAAAATCCAATGGTGAGAGATCTGGCAAACATGCAGTCCACTCGACATCCCATCTCATCAGCCAGCAGACCTTAGAGACAGCACGTGATGATAAAGTTCTTCCCTGTTTGATTATTTATGTTAATTCCTGGTGGCCGATCCTCGGGCCAGGGAGTAGAGCTCCCCGATAGAACGCATGTTTTGTCCTTGTCAACGTAATCGAAAAGTAAACAAGAATGATAAAGACGAAAATTTTGTTCTCTCGGGAAGTTCCACTCCCTGGCTCGAGGATCGGCCCTCTGGGGTCATCGGTTATCCCTAACAAATGAAAAGTTGCCATCCTTTTCAGATCGGAAGAACGCTATTTCTAAATCTAACCTTTATAAAATTACCAACATTTTCAAAATATGAATAAAGACTCACATGACATTGATCAAATTTCTAATTTTGTTTGATAACTCAAGCTCGCGAGTTATCGAACAAATATATACGAGTAGTTTTTATTGCCGAGTTATTTTTAGGTGAGCCTCCCCAAGCTCCGACAACGGTAGAAGATTTAGTAGGTACCGAAACGTCCAGAAGTCATCCAAGCCTAATCAAGTATACGACTTACTGTACCGTATTCATAAAACTGAAGGATAATATCCTTGTTAGTATAAGGTTTTGAGTTGAAGAAAAAGGTAGGAGTATAGGCATTTCCCTTTTTTCGTATTTATAATGATGACCTTATACTTGCAAGGATATCCTCCAGAAATAAGTAAAAGGTTGTTGGCATGTTGGCTTATGTGTGCTGCGGCAGGTTGCACGAACATTTCTCAAGTCTCTTGCACATTCAATATAGGATGACCTTTTCGGTTGACATACTCATCAGCATGGCGTTCTGGTTTCAGTATCCCTATGGGTACAGTCAACTACATCAATTTCTGTCGGAAACCTATACTTGCTTTGCCATAACCGTCATAACTGTTTCGCATCCATAAGTTCATTGTTGTCTTGATCAATGCTTTTCTGATACCCAGGGTCACTGAGATAGCGTAAACATTTCGGCATTTTTAGGACCGATGACAACGCACCTCCTCGAGTTTCAGCATTTATTCCCAAAAATCTGTTGGCAAGCCATTGCATATTTTCCCCTTCATATAATTCTTTGTAATCACGCACAGGTGCTGGATAAACGCTGCTTGTAGTGTTTAATCTTTCTCAGTTCCACAACATCTGCCATTGCTACAACTGATCCTACACGACTGAGTCTGCTACTGACCACACTCGAAATTATTGAAGGATATCCTTTTTCTTTAGAATAAAAGGTAACGTTTACGAGTAACCAAATACTTTTTGTGAAGAATATGCTCATACTCTTATAAGTATAAGGTTTTACTCGGAATATTATGAATGCGAGATGAAGAATTTCCCTTATATTCTGCAAGTATAAGCATAGTATTTTTTTTATGAATACAGCCCATGAGACGAATTTGAATTGCACATTAAATGTGCTCAATTTGAAATTTTCAAATTAAGCCCCTCAGGCGCTATTTATTACCTCAAAAATCACATACCGTCACTTTTGATAGGGGGACCAACATGTTATTCAGACAAACCTTCCTCAATGGGAGAAACATGCGGACAAACAAACGATATTTCTCAAATAAACCTGTTGTTTCCTGTTTAGAGAAATCCGGCGCAGTGACGTTTCCCCACAGTTAATGCAGTAAATAGTTCTTAAACGCTTTATTTTTCCCCTTATGTCCCCCTATCGAAAGTGAGATTATGTGTGTGACGTCAACGCAGGTTGCGTCAGCTAGTGGCTAATTGAAGTATTGAGGAAAACCACCTATTTAAAATATTATTTCTTCAAATCTTAACTTTTTAAAAAAACGTTTACTGAATAAAAATAAATGTTACAACCTTGTATGCGCCGTGAAGCGTAATGAAAGGGTACCGAACCGAACGGGAGGTAGAGAAGAGGCGGTTAGGCATTAGACTAGAGAACAAGCTGGGACTGGTCCCTTGGACGCGTGTCGCGTATGTCTGTAATTATTCATTATTCAATTTTTATTTTTATTTTGCATTAAACTAATCGTTCAATCAAATTTGTTATGAGTGTGTGTGTCAAGGAGCAATCACAGGTCAGTTGAATAATTGTTATTTTGTTATTGAGAGTTCAATTATTTATACAAGTATCATTTTTTCCATTTTTATGTTTTTTGTTTGTTTAAAACATTTTTTTATAATATGTGCATTGTTCATGTATATAACAAAAATCGTTTCATGCTGTAAACAACACAGATAAAGAGTAAATTAAAACCTAGAAAAATTATGTGCTGTCTTTCTGTTCTAAAATTTTGATTTTGTGTATTTAAGGCGTACATTAGGCCCTTGTTGAATTTACTAACATTTTCCTACCCTGACGAGAGAATATCCTAGCAAATTGAAATAATCAATCTAGAGATATTGGCTCAAAAAACAACTATAGCTGAGTAGCTTCCCGTATGGGACCTCAGTACCTGCTGGGGAACTGGCTAACTAACCAAAAACTCTTCAATATTGATTATAGGTAGTGTTAATTGAATGTTGTGTGTGGAATTAAAATTTTAGCACAAAGACAAAGGATGGTACCTAATTTAAACTTTTATTGACTTAAAATATCGAACATTGACTCACAATTATTATTAAAATGACACAGTATGTTTCGATTTTTGAGGAATGTAGATCGAGGGTTTCTCTGCCGTCCTCTTTCCACTCGTTAGTTCCAGGATGAGAACGGTACGATTTACTTTAATAATAAAGTAGACGTTTCACAAATTTCTCGTTTCTTTTACATATCACAGCTTCCCTTAAATTTCCCAAATATTTGCTATGTCGGGCGCATGTCCAGTAAGTAAAATTGAGTAAGTTTCCACAACGTAGGTCCTATTGGTTTTTCATTTCGTTTTTCAGAAGATTTGTTGTTTAAAAGGTAACAAAAATTCACACCGTTCAATCTTACTAAACGAACCCGGGTATGTTATATTACAGTATATGTCTCAAAAAATGCAAGATATGGCCCTTCTTGATTTTTAGCCAAAGGAACATAAATAACCGTCGCCGCCGCATAGAAGCTCGAACTGCTGCTCCAGAATCCACCCGCAATGGTCGCTAAAACCGATCCGCAGATTCTATGCATCATGTCATAGATCGCCACCTGTCTCAGGAGCACTGTAACTCTTCCTCCAAGATAACGATATTGATATTAACGTGGTATTGTTACAAGAAATCTTCTCGAAACCGCAACATAAATTCAATGTCCCATTTGCCCAACTTCTTAATATACATGGCGTACAGCACTAACGAATGAAGAAGGACGTCAACCATTACCAGATCCAATAGGTCCAAGTATAAACAGTCGACAGCAGTTCAGGTCAGGCATACATTTTAGCAGAAGGACCTCAACAACTTCTCGGTCAAAGTTTATGCTGCCCAACCAAATGTTGAATGGAAAAGACGTATCAACTCTCATCGTGGTTTAACAGAGTATCACACCTTGACCAAAGCCTCACGTGAAGACACCCACATACTCGTCACCAGAGACAAAGCAGAAACACTATAGATACTGCAAACGATCTCCAGGAGGAAGAGAAAAGGATCCAACAGCTGCTGATAATGAGGAGCAGTTCCAAAATAATGATAAAAAAAAAGACAACAGCACGTGGTGTTCCCAAGCGGTCACCCATCCAAGTACTAACCACGCTCGACGCTGCTTGGCTTCAGTGATCGGACGAGAACTGGCATTTCACAACGTGATGTGGCCGTTGCCTGTAAGAATCGTGAGTTTTCTCGAGCACAAGATACTTGTGTTTTCCGTTCCAGGACTCTAGGTCAGGGAATACATTTTAGCAGAAGAACAGCAACAACTCTCGGTTTAGGTATACTGCCTAACTAAATGTTGAACGAGGAAGAGGTGGTGACTCTCATCGTGGTTGAACAGAACGGGTGTTGAGATTCTGCCGAAACAGGGGCCAGTTGAAGTTTTTATAACTCAGGCGAACTTGTGGGCGGGGAGGATCAAGTTCGCCCCAGGTGAAAAAGACGGGTAGATGGTCCGAGCTCAGGGCGTTGATCGTTACAAGATCTGAAAGTTCCCTGAGTCCCTTGCTGATGGCAATGTCTATGTATGTGGGTGTCATGTTATTGCTAGGATAATGGGTGGGCGAGTCAGTACTGAGGAGTATCAACTCCGGTCGGTCGTTGACGAAATCATTTAGGATCATACCGTTGGTATTTCCTCTATGATTTCGCCAAAGTCTGTGTCTGGCGTTTGCCCTTCATGTCTTTTCCGTGGGGACTGTATATGTGTGGAATTCCGCTCCATCCCGTTTGAGGTGTCTGGCCATGCTGCTGTGATCGTTCATGTTCTTGGGGTAGACGATCACAGAGTTTCTGGCGTACTTTATCTCAACCTGCTCCGTTGTGATCTTAGAGGCCATGTCTAGGAAAGTTTTATGGTTCCCTAGCTTTCCCCTGATTACTATTGGCGGGGGGGGGGCGGGGGTAGGGCTTTTTTACCCGTGGGGGCCTGTTTTTGGTGGAGCGGATTCCGCCACTTTATTTTTGATTTCCTCCTTGGAGGTGCAGCTGCAGCAACTGCACCTTCCTCTTGCGGCTCTGGG